ATACTACTTGATAGAGCAAATTCTCAACAAAACACTGTTTTTTGAACAGTCACCACTATTAGCCAATTTGTGCAGGTGATCTAGCTGACTGTGACTCTTCATTTCATGGTGTGACAACTGTGCATGGCTGTCTGGAACTTGGCTTGTCTTTTACACTGCTCTTGCCACTGCCACCTCACTGTTTGGTCTTTATAAACATTCATCAAGCGTGAATAAATATCAGTGGGTGCAGTTTCTTCCACATGAAGGAATTCAGTGACACACCTTTGCTTCATACCCACTTCCATATCAGGTGCCATTCTGTCAGATTGACCCTCTGCTGCCATCTGTCCAATGGTAACAAAATGCAATGGAATGTAGGTGAGAAGGTTGAACCTCTACCACCATCCCACTGACATCCGCCTCTGGTGTCATGGGCCAACATAATAAAATAGGAGGCATTATTTTCACAGCAAACCTTGTACTTCCTGAGTTCTCTAAATTGGTGTGAAAGTTTGTGCAATTTGGTAAATGCTCTCTTCATTATTAAAACATTTGTTGCTTGCTTATTTTACATTTTTGAGGTGGAGGAAATAAAGTGAACTAATGCATTTGAATCATCATTCTTGATTTCCCCAGGCTCTAAACCAAGCATGGAGCAATTTATTGTTCTGTTACACTCAAGTGGGATTCTTTTTGAATAGATTCTGATTACACCTCTGCTTTGGGTGCAACTGCATCAGTAACTCAATGGGCCATGATACAACTGTTTTAACAAGAGAACGTTTTAGAAAAAAGAAAGCCATTTTGAAGCTTTAGTACTTTTCTGACTTAGCTATTGTTTTAAGTGATTGCTTTCAACATTATTCTCCTTGCAGAAATTGGTATTTTTATCTGCAATTCTTTAAAGTGACCCGCTAACCATATCCCAGATGACTATTTTCAGTGTCAAAAAGTGGCTGAGCGTCCTTGTCCTTTGCAACCATCTCACAAAGAAGAGATCACAATCCAGAAAGACAGCTCAGAGAGCATCAGTGCTCTTTTACCCCCGCTGTCACAAAATTGCCTATCTTGAAGACCAGTTTTGTTGGTGGAAACCCAGCCATAGGCAGCAGAGCCAGGGAGCTTTTGCCTATAGTGTGTCTTGATTAAGTGCTACTTGAGGCACTTGGGGCCATTTCAGATCCAAAGAATCTGAGAAGATCCAGAATCCAGAAGATTAAATCAGGTTCCCATAGCTCATTTTGATACGTAGGGGCAAAAGCATCTACTCCAATGTCTGTGTAAAGCAGGGGCTTTCATCTTAGGGATTTCTTCACCTTTCACATTTTCTTGAGCTGTATTTTGGGAACCATTGGGACCCATCTATCTACAGTGCATTTCTTTTGTCTGTATTCAGTGTCTGACAGCCTTGTATGCTTGGAGGAGCAAGACAGAGCTTTTAAAACATTAATTTGAGAATTTATCTTTACTTGGTGGTCTGTCGGAGAGGACAGAATTGAACTTGGCTTTCCCAGATCCTACAACCCACATATCCTTTCTTTTTTCTCTGGCAGAGCTAGGGGAGTAGATCAAGTAGGAGTTGTCTCTGCATAATGTAGGAGCTCATAATAATGAAAGTCTTATCATCTTGCTCTTGTGAGCTGAAAATATTGAGTATTAAATACAGTGTGCCTACAGTTGTGCTGTGTTTCTTATTGACTTCAGAAACCTAAGCCTTCAAAAAGCATAAAACTAATTTAAAATCAAATGTTAAATAAAATTTGGCAGTTCTGTTTATCTTCTGGTATTGGAGTTGTTTGTGGGTTGTTTTCTTTTTTAAGCTTTTTCTTGATAACAAGGGACCAAAATAGTTAGAGGTGTTTTTTTTTTGGGGGGGGGGAGGGAGTTGGGAAAGGAATCAGAAATTCTCCCCTAATTACAGAGCTTCCGAATCCATGACACCAGAGATCACCAGAATGACAGTGTGTTCCTCAGATCTGGCAGTGTTTCAGACCAGGAAAAACCATGTACTGAGGAGCAAGTTGGCTTGGCACGATATCAGAGCCCTGTAATGGAGCTGTTACCAACGCTCCTTTTTCCTGTTCTAGCAGTATAATTAAACAGTTAACACATTTCAGAAATAATGGTATAATTAATGTAATTAAGCAGGGCCTCTTTCACTAGAAACGAGGGTAGTAAAGTAGCGCTGCTGTTTCTCTGATGTGAGAAATGCCCCTTTATTTTCATCTGCATCTTTCACCTGTTTGCACAGAGGTAAAGAGCATGGCCAAGTTTTTAAAGCTGCTCAAAGTGCCATTTTCAAAAGCTGTACCGCAGCAGCACACGTTTAATTGGGAAACTGGTGAGCTCTGGTCTTAGAAAAAAAGACTGCTTAGATGATTTGGAAAACCCTGCCCCAAATCTGCCTTGTGTTTTTTTTGCCCTGGTTTTACTCAGCTGACCTGGTGTGTTCATTTCAACAGACCTCTCCCTCAGATGAAGCCAGCAAGAAGCAGCTTTTAATGCCCCATCGCCCATCGGTGGACCACTCAGATGAACCCCTCCAGAGACAGAGGGCAGTGAGTGCTGTCAGCATCATCACCAGTGCCCTGGAAGGTAAGTCATGTCTTTGTCTCCCTGCCCAAAGCCAAGTGTGTCTTGGTTGGCAGGAAGAAAGTAGCAAGTAAAACCTGAAGGTTAAACCCTTTTGTTTTGGGGAGAAAATATTGCAGAAATATTACAACCCTATAATATGAGCAATGCCTTAATAGAAGGCTGTGTAATCTTACCATAGACTTGTAAACATCCTGACAAAATGCTGGTATTATAATCAGGGTTGGATCTGCTAACATTTTGTTTACCCTCAGCCTCTGATGCACAGAGGGCTAACCAAGATGAAGTGTAGCAGAGCACAAGACTATGCATACATTTACAAGTATTACACCATCATAGAATGGTTTGGGTTGGAAGAGACCTCAAAGCCCATCCAGTTTCACCCCCTGCCGTGGACAAGGAACCTCCCACCAGCCCAGACTGCATACAGCCCCATCCAGCCTGGCCTTGAGCACCTCCAGGGATGGGAGCTCTCTGGGCAGTGCCAGTGCCTGATTTCCCTCTGAGTAAAGAATTTCTTCCTAACATCTAATCTAAATCTAACCTAACTCATAGCAATACACTGCTTTTCTAGGAAAGGGTTTCTTACATCTCCTTGTGTCTTCTGCATTGTAAATTGAGACTGAATAGGAGGTAATGAGTAAGAGTATAGAATAATGTTTGTCAGGAAGTCAGAGGGGAACAAGGAAGTTTTGGATTCTCCTGGAGACTTATTCTTTGTGTTACTGATGAATAGGAAGGTAATGCAAGACTAGATGACTTGTCTGGGAGATGTCTTATAGGAAGGGACCAAACCTGTCTCTTTGGAGACAATGCCCAGTTACAGCCACAAAGCCCATCTTCTTCCTCAGCTTTTTACAACCTTCTGTGGTTATGGTCAGCAGGACTGTGGTCAGAACAGATAAACATATATTTAAGCTAATAAGGATTTATATTCTTAATAGGTGCATAATCACGTCAGTACATGCCAGTATTCAGTATGACCTGGAAAGGTTTTTTGTTTTCATTTGGGCTTTTTTTGCAGTTGACAATGTGAAGAATGTGTAAAAGGCCTAGGCTGGACTTCTCGCACATTCATTTAATGACACTTTCTATTATTTCTAATATTTTATGTCTGAAATGGTCCTTGTCAAGTTTAGCGTACCTCAGAGGATGTATATTTTTATCCTCATACGGCAGAAATCCTTAACAAAGTTTTCCTAACCCCCAAAATTTGATCAGTCATAGAAATTATTCAGTACTTCTTAACAAGAGGAACATCACATCAGAAGAAAAAGTTTCACAGGCTTTAAGGTATAGTAATAGCTCTATGTTTGGCTTGGAACAGCCAGACCAGAAATCCCTTCCCCCTTTTGTTGCTTGATTTCTGTTCTTGACTCTTGGGAAAGCCATTGCTTCTCTTTTGTCCCCAGGCATTGCAAAGCCTTGCAGTCAAGGAGAGACCTACTTTTTGTTTGTTTGTTTAAAAATAAGAGGGAAAATGCCTCCAATTTTACTTTTTCCTTTTACAGGTGTCTTTCAAAAAATATTCAGTATGTTGTAATTTTCAAAGATTAGAAAGGATGTGAGTTTTTAAATGGTTTAAACTATTTTAATGCCACATCATTACCAAAAGAGGAAGGCCACACCTTCTTCCTTCCCTGTTCCTGCAGTATGATTGGGCTGCACAAAAAATTGATTTTCAGTGAGCAGGATTAGTTCACCCACAAGCTACAGAAGCACAAAGGACAGAGGAAATACGTGTAGCTCAGGGGGATGAAACTATCTGCTTTACCAACAACCTGGGCTTAAAAAAGCTTTGTTGATGGTAGAGTTTCAGGGGAGAAGCAGCACATCTGATGAGTGCATTGTGAAGGTATCAAAATCAGCGAGAGTGGGTTGGTTAGAAATGATCATGATGCAGATAAATGGGTTCTTCTGGTTCTACCTGGAAAACTAAGTCCATTAGGAAGTGACTACCTCAAAGTCTTCATTGCTTTCAGAGGTAGGTTTCTGAAAACAATGCACAATAAGGATTTTGCACAGAAATTGTCTGGGTTATGAATGGTTCTCACATCATTTTAGGCTTTCCTCCCTAAACCCTGTGTTTGGAAGCTGGGAAGAGAGAGTTATCTGTTGGGAGCAATTCAGCTTCCCAGAGATCTCAGAGCAGTGCAGGTGTTTCTGCAAAATTTGTACTTGTAGGACACCAACCAATATTTTGAAAATGTGCTAGAAAACACCTAACACTGCAAATCTGTTGTCCAACGAAGGAAAATGCTTTTAGAATGCATCCTGGCTTGAGAAAGGAGGCTGTTTATGAACCGATTCAAATAACAGGCTTGGCTGAAGCTTTCCTGTTATCACCTCAGGTTCTAATTATATAGACTAAAACTGTTATACATGCCCATAAAGGAATCAGAAAAGGAAAGCATTAAGCAATTCTGCTAATCATGATCATTCAGCCATTAACTGTCTTTTCTGGCTTTTCTTTTTCATCATTTAACACAAATTATTCTTACAAAGCCATTTATCTTCTTTTGTGCTCAAATAAAATGAACATATAAAAGTTGTATTTTAAATAACACTTTAAAAGTACCTTTAAAAAGAACATTGGAGCTTTAGTACCACATTCAAACTGAATTATGCACTCCCCTGATTTTCAGAAGAAATTGGACACTTAATGCCTTTTTTGGATTAAACATCAAGAACAGAATCCTTCTGATAACCAGTGATATTCTGGCTCTTAAAACGAAGTATCATTGGCTCTGGTGCTCACAGGGAATCTTCAACCATCTTGATATTTCCTGGAAAAAAACAATACCAGGCCCCAGGACATTCCTGCAGTGCATAGAAGGTAACTTGTTGATGCAGATGGTTGAGCAGACAATGAGGAGAAGTGTGCCTTGTCTTACAAACAACGAAGGACTGGTTGGGAATGTGGAGGCTGGGTGCAGCTTGGGATGCAGCAAACATGAGATAGTGGAGTTCAAGGTTCTATGTAGAAGAAACAAGGCAATAAGTACGATGGCAGCCTTGGACTTCAGGAGAGCCAACTTTGACCTCTCCAAGAACCAACTTAGAGGTATCCCCTGGGTTAGAGCACTGGAGGGTAAGGGAGCCCAGGAGAATTTGTTAATGTTCGAGGAGCATTTCTTCCAAGCTCAGGACTGGTGCATCTCTAAGAGTAAGAAATCAGGCAAAGGTGACAAGAGACCCGCATGGATGAGCAAGAAACTCATGGAAAAATAGAAGAAGATCTATAGAATGTGGACAAGGGGTCTGGACACCTGGGAGGAATATAGGAATCCTGCCAAAGCATTGCAGGGATGGAAAAAGGAGAACTAAGGTCCAGCTGGAATTAAATCTGATGGGGGAGGTCAAGGACAACAGGAAAGACTTCTTCAGGTATATCAGTAGCAAAAGGAAGACTACAAAAAATGTGAGTCCACTTCAAAATGAGGTGAATGCCCTGGTAAGGGAGGACACAGAGAAGGAAGAGATAGTGAATGTCTTCTTTGATTCAGTCTTGACTAAAACTAAGCCTAGGGGATCCCAGTCCCTGGGAATAAGAAGTGTGGGAAAAGGAAGATATCCCCTTGGCTGGGAAGGATCTGATCAGAGATTGTGTAGGCAAACTTGATGCACACCAATGATGCAACCATGAGCACTGAGAGAGCTGGCAGAAGTGATTGCTGAGCCACTCTTTGTCAACTTTGAAGGTTTGTGGAGAAGGGAGAGGTGTCTGAGAACTGGAGGATAGCCGGTGTCACTCCAGTCTTCAAAAAGGGCAAGAAGGAGGAGTCAGGAAACCAGACCAATCAGCCTGAAATCTGTCCCTCGGAGGGTGATGAAACAACTTGTTCTGGATGCCATCTCCAACCAAACGGAAGAGAAGGTATCAGGAGTAGTCAACATGGATTCACCACAGGGAAATCATGCTCAACTAGCATGGTAGTCTTCTATGATGTCATCACCAGCTGAGTAGATGGGAGGAGAGTGGTGGATATTGTGTACATTGAATTCCGCAAAGCTTTTGACACAGTCTCCTGTAACATCCTCATAGACAAGCTTAGGAAATGTGAAATAGAGCAGTGGACAGTGAGGTGGATTAAAAACTGGCTGACTGGCAGAGCTCAAAGGATGGTTACCAGTGATAAAGATTCTAGTTGGAGGCCCGTAACTTGTGGTGCTCCCTGGGGGTTGGTGCTGGGTCAGGTCTTGTTTAACATCTTCATCAGTGACCTGGTTGAAGGGATAGAATGCACTCTCAACAATTTTGCTGAGGGAGGAGAGCAAAATTGGTTTCAACAATTTGCTTTCAACAAGACCTGGACAGATTGCACAGTTGGCTGGAGAGAAACCTGATGAGGTTCAATAAGAGCAAGTGTAGAGTCCTCCTCCTGGGGTGAAACAACCACATGCATCAGTACAGATTAGGGGCTGACCTGCTGAGAAGGAGCTGAAGCTCTGCAGAGAGGGTCCTGGGTGTTCTGGTGGACAACAGGTTGGCTAAGAGCCAGCATTATGCCCCTCTGTCCAAGAAGATCAGTGGTACACAAAGGTATATTAAAAAGAGCATGGACAGCAGGGTGAGGGAGGTGATCCTCCCCCTCTACTCTGCCCTGTTGAGACCACATCTGGAATACTGTGTCCAGCTGTGGGCTCCTCAATTCAAGAAAGACAAAGAACTGCTGGAGAGAGTCCAGTGTAGGGTTACAAAGCTGATTAGGGGCCTGGAGCATCTCTCATACGAGGAAAAGAGAAGTCCAAGAGGAGATCTTACCCATGCTTATAAATATCTAAAGTATGGGAGTCAAGGGAATGGGACCATATTCTTTTTGGTAGTGCCCAGCAACCGCACAAGGGGCAGTGGGCACAAACTGGAACATGGGAAGTTCCATATGAACATGAGGAAAACATTCTTTATTGTGAGGGTGACAAAGCTCTAGAGCTGGCTGCCCAGAGATGTGGATATTTAAAACCTGCCTGTTTTTCCTGTGCGACCTGCTGCAGTGAACTGCTCTGGCAGTGTGTTGGACTGAGGGGTCTCCAGAGGTCCCTTCAAACCCATACTACCCTACGATCCTGTAAATCAGCTCTAAATATTGGATTTAAGCTCTTTTTCTCTTAAACGCTTTAAAACTCTTCATTTTAGATTTTTCTAAAATGAGACCTGACAATGAAAAGAGCTATGTTCCAGTTTATTCTTTTAACCACTTGAACTTGCCAAAACAGGAAAAGAGAGTGCAGATCTATGTGAAATACCAGCCTTTGCATATTTAGTGCGAATTTTCCTCTTTACTTGTGACTCCTTTGAAAGGTTACTACTTCCAGGATAGGCCACTGTCTGCTAAGTACAATCAACTGTCAAAAAAACCAAAGTACATAATTTGCCTGTTAAGATAGAAATATTTTTGTCCTAAAAAAGAAAAAAAAAAAAAGTGGTTCTGGGTAATTCAGGAGTCTTCCTCTATGTTGTAAGTCATTTTAAATGTTTCCTTGTCATATAACTCAGTGTGCATTGACTGTTGTTTTACTACTTGTGTCTTAGAGCTTGAGGAATCACACCAGAAATGCCCTCCGTGCTGGAACCACTTTGCTGTTAAATTTCTCATTTGGGATTGCTGCCCGTTTTGGCTTTTAATCAAGAAATTTGTCAAGTTTGTGGTAATGGACCCATTTACTGACCTCACCATCACCCTCTGCATTGTGCTGAACACACTCTTCATGGCCTTGGAGCATTATAAGATGACAAAGGAGTTTGACCACATGCTTTACATAGGCAATTTGGTAAGTGAATATAAAGGTAAGACTCCATTTGAGGAATGTATTTATTGCTTTGTAAAGTTTTGGCTTAGGTCTTGGAAGATTCTCTTTTAATATGCTGTCAGCACTGCTTTGCCTATGTCATGTCAAGCAAGAGCGTCCTTTCACCTCTTCTGGGGTTTAAAACTTACTGTTTAAAAATCTTTTTAATTTCAGAAGAGTTTGTATTGGAAAAAAACACAGGATATCTAACTATGACATGGTGGAACTGCCCCTAAAATTAGTACAAGCAAGATTTACTGTAGGACCAGAAGGTCTGGAGTACCCTGGAATGTGGACCCTGCTAAGTGTGAATTTAAGAACCCCAAAGTGGATATGAGAAAAGCCCTATATTTATAAAAAAAGATGGCTCTCAAGCTGGGATCCACTTTGCCCGACTTGGGATATTTGCAGCATAGGAGTCTCTGTCGGAGCTGATTGCATTTAAAGTCAGTGGAGAGAGATAGACAATTTCAAGGCGCAGTTAATTTGATGTTTTTAAGATATTTACTTTTGGATAAGGTGAACTGTGCCCTATAAGCCACTGATTTTGCTGACCATTAACTGCAAAAGGAGCATGCACAGATGCTGCAGGTGTCACGTCTGCACTGAGATGCATCCCACGCTGGCAGGTTTAGGTGGGTAGTAGCAATGATCACAATTCTTGTACCAGCACCAGCGCACACAGTGCAGCTCATGTTTTTTTCTTTTTTTTTTTAATACTACTCCTTGTTGTTCTTATCTGCAGACCTTCTCAGGCAGATTGAAGGTCTCTCAGCCTGTGGAGCCAGTCTGCAGGTTTTCAGCTGCTGTGTCCTGGCAAATTTCCCTGTCGCTATGCTGGGAAAAATCAGGTGTCTCCTTTGGCTGCTCCAAACCCACGCTCTACTCCTTTGTGGGAAGCAGTAGATAAGCGTAGCTTGGAAAGTCACCCTGCAGAACTGCACCCAGCTCCTCTATGCAGCCAGCCCACGTTGTGGGGATGTTGCTCAACCATTTGTGGCCTTCTCAGATGACTCCTCAGATGATAAAAAAAAATCCTTTGGACCAGCATCCGTGACAGCAGGTGGCAATGCTGCCGTCCCGCCCTCTGGCTGGTAAATGCGTCTGTTCCTTGCTCTGCTTTTGACAGAGCAGCTTCTCTCTTTGCCAGACCACGGGCAGCAAATCTCCAGCCCCTGGCATCCCTCCTGCCCACAGGGCTCCCAACAAGGCTGATGGAAATGGAGACGACGAGCAGAGGGCGGGGGGAAAATCGCAAAGGAAATTTTGTTGAAGATTGCAAAATTTTGCAGAAGATGGTGTGCTTCACCCTGAGCTTCTCAGCTCTGCCTGGAGCTATTTTGATTTGTGTTAAAGTGTAAAATAAGCAAAACAGCCTGCTGCTTATGTTTGGGAGTAGGCTGCTGGCCCTGGGCTGCCCTTCCCCTCAGATGCTAGGATGGGTGAGAGGTTCCCCCCACCAGATTTCCTGAGCCCTCGCACAACAGGAATGGTTGCGAGTAGAGCAGGTCAGGGAAGGTAATTCCATCCTGTGGAGGATTTTGCAAAGTCATTTGTAATGAAAATTGAGTGTGTTTTTTTGCAATTTGCCCTGTGAGGGATGGCAGCCTCAGCTCCAGGGCAGGCTGCCAGGTGCCTGCTTCCCCTAAGCCACCAACTGCCAGAGCCTCTTCTGTGCCCACACTGAGCTCTGAGCTCCTGCCATCCCATCTAACCCTCTTTGAGTGATTACACCAGCATTAGGTGGGGGAAGATACTAAAAAGGGTACATCTTTGGCATTTTTTCCTCCAATTAAGTGTTTCTGAAAGAAATGAGAGTGGGATATGAATTTGCTATCTGTGAGAGTAGTCTGCCTGCTAGGCGTTGGAGATCTCCCACTCTGATGGTGCTATCTCCATCGACCAGCTGTGTGGCACTTGCTTCCTTTGGGCCTCGATAGCTTATCACTTACAGCAACCAACATTTCTAAATGCCCTCGCAAGGCCTGACCAGCACACTCACAGACTGATGATATAAGGCAGAAAAAGTGAGATTTTTCTCAATTTCTGTGTTTCTTTAGAAATGGAGACATTACTGCAGAGTAGGTGGAGAAATTTATTTATTATTTATTTATTTCAGAGAAAATCCTCCAAATCCCCACTGGCACATTCACAACCACAACCAGTAGGATGGCGAGTTCATAGAATCACCAAGGTTGGAAAAGACCTCCAAGATCATCCTGTCCAACCATTCACCTACCATCAGTCTTTCCCTACTAAGCCACATCCCTTAATACAGCATCTAAATGTTTCCTGAGCACCTCTAGGGTTGGTGACTCCACCACATCCCTGAGTAGTGCATTCCAGTGCCTCACCACTCTTTTGGGCAAGAATTTTTTTCTAACGTCCAACCTTAATCTCAACGTGGTGCAGCTTGAGGCCGTAGTTACTCTTTTGCTTTCCAGCCTTCATCACTGCAGCATCCAGCTCCTCATATAAGCCCAACAGTTTGTTACCAGGTGCCAGCAATTTGGTGACTCCCATTTGAAATTTGTCACTGGTGTACGTACATGGCTCCTGATGCCTATAAGATGGCTCAGACATTTTTTTCTATCTTGCTATGACATTTCCTTCGCAGAAGGCTATTGATTAAAAAAGATTCGAGCAAAGGAAGCGATCCTCCTGAGTCATTTCTCTGCAAGGCAGTTACACAATGTAGGCAGTGTGATGGTGTGGGTTTGCAGGCAGTCCCCTGGATACGATTTCACAGCCATCTAGTTTGGGCTGGCTTGCTGTCCTTAGGGAAACTGGGGCATTCAGGTGGGAATCTCTGCTGTCTCCAGCCACAGTGACTCAGAAATTCCATGTCAGTTAGGAAACAGAGATGGACCACTGCGTTGGGTTCTTGGTATAGGACTGATAGGATGGCAGTTTACACTGACACAGTCTGAAATATCTTCCCCTGACAAGGAGAATATATTTTACATAAGGAGATGTGTAAAATGGCTATTTGGAACAATCCAGCCATTCACACCTGAAGCATTATAGGGTAAAATCAAACTTTCTTCAAATGCAAGCTGTGATCTTTTTTTTTTTTTTTTTTAAACTCCTTATCACCTTAATTATAGAGCCTCAACTTTTCCCTTCCACACAGTGGTGAGTTTCTCTTATTTCTTGCTTAGAGCTGATCACTTTTGCTGAGATAGCTACAGACATTTAATTTTTGGGAAAGAAAATATTTCTCCTTGAGCGTTTGTTACTGCTATATTAGTTCTGGTGTCCCCTCTTTTTGACTTACACAGTGCACTGATATTGACTGCTGTGTAGAAAACCATGTGCTTTGATATAAAGGTGCAGCAGAGAACTATTCAGAACATGAAGCTCTGTGTACTTGAGCAGGTACTTAGAATGGAAATGAAACTATGTGAGTACAACACGATGCTCACATTTTCTCATTTTAAGCTGTCGTATTTATCATGATACTTAAGGAGTGCATCTGAAAGGATCAGATCTGATTCTCTCAGATGCTTTGCAGGAATGGGTTAAAATTGAATTTGCTGTCTGAATTTGCAGACTTCCTATGTCTTCTTCTCTTGCCTCTTAGGCAATATTTATATGTTGTTCTAAAGAAATATGTTCCAATTAAAAGCTCCACTCTGTGACTTTTGAACTGTGTCATAAATAAGCAATGCCTCTTCAAGATGCTGTGAGAAGAGATCTGCTGGAAGTATTTGTAAAAATAAAATAATAAAAAAATAAGAGGGTTCAAATTAGGGTCTCTAATTGCCTTTGGTGCCAGGAAGAGAGCTCAGAATGGCTGGAGGCTCGAGCCTGGTATTGACAATAATAACAAAATAACAACAGATAATACAGCTGGTACGCTGCAGTCCAGATATGCCTTTAAAACTCCCACTCCATTCATTCAGGTTTCTCCACTGAAATAGATTTAACCTTTATAAAAGGCACCTTTACGCTTTCTTTTCTACCACTGAGAACATGCAGGCGACAGAAGGCGATGTAAGTGTCTGTCCCCATCAAGGGCTGAACCCAGACATTGCCGAGCATTGCTGCGAAGAGACCAGACAAAGCCAGAGCTGTAGCACTGATAAAGAATCAACCGTGAAAGATGACGTATTTGCTCACGTGTTTTTGGCTTTCTGCTGTGCTCACCTGTGACTGTGGAGACTGCGATAAAGGAGGGATGTGTGGAAGGCTGTTTTCACTTTGTGTTTTCTTTCTGCAGGTCTTCACTGGGATTTTTACGGCAGAAATGATCTTCAAAGTAATTGCCCTTGACCCCTACTACTATTTTCAGCAGGGATGGAACATTTTTGACAGCATAATTGTTATACTGAGCCTGATGGAACTGGGTTTATCCAGCATGGGGAACCTGTCTGTGTTACGCTCCTTTCGATTGGTAACGGTCTCATTCTGCTCTTACCCCTCTCCTTTGCGTTGCATATAAGCTCTGAGATGAATGCAACATATTTTCTTTAAAAAATGCATCCAGTAATAAAGACTTTAACTGCTGCAAACTGGTGAACAGTACGTGACACTAATTATATGAGCTGTGGGATAAATGGAATTGTTCCAGATTTACATCAGGGTAAACGAGAACATAATTTGATTCCTTCTAGCCGTGCCAGGTACTCGAGGCACACTTTAGATGTTCGAGATGCAATTTGTAATAAAAATATGCTTTTTTATGCCTGTACACCTGTTAGAACAACCAGCAGATAAATGATGGCCCCAAAAATGCAAGAGCTAGTAACATGTCTTTTTGGAAGTTGTTATTCCTAAATTATATTATAAACATGTCACCATTCTTTTAAATGTTGTCAAAAGAGAATGTCTTTGAATTATTCACGGAGTGATTTTTTTTTTTTCTAGAACTGATCAGCATAACACAGCATCTGTCTCTCACGGAACTCCTTAGCTGTCAGTTCCTTTGTTATGCATGGGATAGTGGCATTCGATTAATGAGAGACTGTCGGCATATTGGAACAGAAAAGTCGTTTCCTTGCCAGCCTGACATTTGTGTTGCACTTCGTGTACCAGGATGTCCATGTTAATCATTCTGGCCATGATGTGGCTTCAGAACTTGAAAGACCAGGAAAATAAGCCCTTATGGTTGCATTTAGAGGAAGGCTTTTTTTTTTTTTTTTTTTTTTCCCCCTTTCTAAAATTCTCTTTGCTGCTAAAAATGCAAATTTTTCACTGCCGCTGCTGGGCCCTGAGAGCCTCCTGTCAGTTTCTGAGCAATGCCTCTGCAGTGGGGTTGAAATTAAACCTTCAGCTGAAAACACAGCACAAGAGCTAGGAACAGTTTACATCCTTAGAACAGGTCTTTGGTGGGACTTGGGCTATACTCAGCCTTTGTGATCCTTGAGGTGGTTTTCACCCTGGGAGCTATCAGCTACCAGCATCAGGCTGAGGCTTGCAGTGAAACACAGTGGAAATGCTTCTCCCACTGCAGTATCGAACCCTAAGCCCTTTCCCTGCAGATGCTTGTCAGGCTGTTTAATTTGAGAAGGAAAAATACCCTAAAGGAAAATACTGAGACATGATACTTCCTCCTTCCGTTCCCCCCAGTGATATCAGGGAACTGAGCTCAAGAAGCACGTCTGTCTAATAAGGCACAGCAAAGCTCCTGAACGCTTCCTTCTCACCCAGGAAGCACAAGAGATGTTTTATTAATAGACGTAGTGAGGTTCACAGGAAGTGTGGCTAAAATCCCCTCGTGCTGTGGCATTCCACGTTGTACCCACTTTAATAATTCATCCACTGAAATCTCTGTTGCTTCCGTGAACTGACACTGTTGTTTGTGTTTTGTTCACAGCTGCGGGTCTTCAAATTGGCCAAGTCGTGGCCGACCTTAAATACTCTCATCAAAATCATCGGTAATTCCGTGGGCGCCCTTGGGAACCTCACCCTTGTGCTGGCAATCATCGTCTTTATTTTCGCCGTGGTAGGAATGCAGCTTTTTGGGAAAAGTTACCTGGACAATGTGAAGAAGATAAGCACAACTGGCAACTTGCCACGGTGGCACATGAACGATTTCTTCCATTCGTTTCTCATCATCTTCCGAATCCTGTGCGGGGAGTGGATCGAGACCATGTGGGACTGCATGGAAGTAGCTGGGCAGCCCCTGTGCCTTCTCGTCTTCTTGTTGGTCATGGTGATAGGAAACCTGGTGGTGAGTTGTCCGGATGGTTTCTTCTCCTTTTCCTGCTGGGTGTGTGGAAATGAATGTCCTTGTATCCAGAAAGTGCAAAAAACTTGTGTTGCTTCTAGGCTTTAGTGTTTGCTGAACCAAGGTCTCACCCAGACACATTTGTTCATATCCCAGGTCCAAAAGGGGTGTCATTTCATTGCTAATTGGGATGGAGTCTTAATGTTTTTGCAGAAGGACAGGTAATGTTTTAGAGGAAATAAAGTCACACAGGCTTGTTATAATGATTTTATTCCTTAAGGCATTGTTGAGACTTAAGAGATTTGAAATCTCTTTTCAGGAGTGAATATCACCTTAACTGTCACTGTAATGGGGGATATTTTTATTTCTGTTCGTTTCTGGACCAGAACAGGTGAGCCTTACAGCTAGCACAGTATCTTTGAAAGGAGTTTCAGATGTGTTTAGCTGGTGTGTTCTAGGAAGCTGTAGGTTATGTTTACAGTTAAGTCACTTGCTCATTGCTTTTTTAATAGACCATCCCATAAGCTTGGCTTACATAAGCTCTGAACCTATTAAGGCTGAATTGTATTTCCCTGTTGACATCTTAGGGAGCGCTTTGCTGGCTTGCAGTCATTGTGGAAATGTTTTGCCCGTTCAGCTTACAGAGCATCTTTGACATTGAGGCTCTAATGGGCTTACTGTTTATTCAGTGAGTTGTTTAATAGTGGATGTGGCCATAAAATTGTTAGGCTTTGCTATGGACTGCTTTTAGTGGTTGTTTTGCTTTTTAAGTACCCGGCGTTTTGCTTCTTGGCTGCTGGGATAGAAAACTCCTTGGAGGAGCTTATGAAAGAAATGAGCACAGTTTTTGTGTTTGCATTAATTTAAATTTCAATAATTAGATTTTTGATTTCAAGAGAAAGCTGCAGTTTGTAGATTTTTGTATAAATCAAAACATTAAGCTATGATTGCTCAGAAAGCAGCAGGATTTCTCTTTGCCTTCACTTTAACTTTCTGCCACATTAGCTTTCTTTCTGGATTAGATGATGTGAGACAAGTTATGACTTTCTGCACATTTTTGCGAGGAGCTCAGCCTAAACTGAGAAATTTAAGCTCCTCCTATTGTTAGTCAATGGATTCTGTATTTGTATAGAAATCTGAAAATAATACCCAGGAAATTCGGGGGAATATGTTCACATTTGAAATATTAATGGATTACTCAGTGAATGTGTAACATCTTATTTCCTTAGGTATTAAAACTCATGAGATTGCATAGGGATTGTTAAATATAAAATCCAATTCAGAGGAGATTGTACGAACAGCATCCACATGTATTTAAACTTCCGTGCTCGGAAAAGACTGTTCCACATGTACAACCAGATATTGAAGGCCTCTGTCATCATGAGTGATCTGAAGTTACTGGTCAGCTGAAAGCAAAAGTGCCAGCTTCATGCTTTTCAGCCATCAGTTTTGTACGCACGTAGCAAAGACTGGGGAATAGGAGTGATTATTGTATGTAAAGCTCTTAGGGTGAAAAAAATAAGAAGAAAAAGATCCATAGGTGTGAAAATGGGAAAAGAAAAACAGGTTCTGAATCATGAGGCTCATTCTATGCCAAGCACATGGAGATATTCTGATGTTAATTATCAGGTAGAAAGAAGATTCTTTTCTCCCAAAATAGTAGCAAAAGTCTTGGTTTCTTCAGTGAGAGTCAGCTGAATTCACAAAATTACTCATTTGCTGCAGAGCATCAGACAAAAGCTCAGCTAGCCAAAAAGCACTAATAACTCTTTAAAATGAGAAGACAAGCTCTGGCTGCAGTCTGGGGTGGGAAGAGTTACAAGCAATGTGATTCTGTGATATTCTCAGTGCTTGGGTCTGCAGGTCTTATCGAGCCTCAGTAACATAAATTCAAAGGAATGGTGGAAGAAAAGCATGGAAAATTAGTAAGTGCCCTGGGCAACTTCATGTTATAGAGCAGTCAAGCTGTTGAAAGGAATTTTAGTAATTCTTAAGACTTTGGTTGGTATTCATGTATCCCAAAAATGTCTTGCACTGTGCCACTGCCATGTGAAAGTATGTGCACTGCTGGTCAGCTGATATCTGAGTCATCCTCAGAGAACTAAACCTTACAGCATAGTTGGGAAATGACGTGCTGTGTCACTGCCTTCTGCACAGCAATACTGTGCTGCTAGGATCTGGCAGCATTTTCAGAGTCATGGAAGCTACTTTGGAAGGGAAAGCCAAGCCAGAGGAATGATAAAGTAGGCTTGCTATCATGTGTAAGGACTTCTGAAATTGCTAACTGAATAATTACGGTTACAGTTAAGACTTAACATATTTCCTGTGTACATATGTGTTCCTGAGTTTAGTAAGGAAAGTAACTGAGAGAGGAGTTATTAAAAAGGCAGAGAGGAGTTTGGGTAACGAGGCAGTCCTTACTGCCCTGCTCTGCTGGGTCAGCCAGTGTGAGAGCTGAGGGCGACAGCAGCCGCTTCTCAGGGGACAACCTCCTGCAGTGGGGACTGCTGCTGTACTAATGACGTGCATGAATAAAGTTGACACCCCAATCACAGAAAGAACAACCTTCCAACCTCTTTGCGTGAGTCTGACGTGTGCTGGCCAAGCTGCCCCTTTATTCTTGTCCCTGCTGCTTGGACAAAGTGAGATTTCTACCAGCTTCTTCCAGCATGGTACAAAGTAAGGTCTGTGCTTTGAGTTATAAGCATGCCAGGGGGGATGGTCTGTCACAAGAGAAGATGGTCAAGTTTTTACTGGGATGAAAATTGAAATGAAAGGTTGGAAATGCTCTTTATCATTGGTCATTGGCAGTCCTTTGGTCCAATATCAGTGTTTGTAACATAGAAAAATACTGAGAACCTTTTCTGAGAACATAAAGATAGAAAGCATCACAAATTTCTAGGGTGCCCAGTTATCCTGCAGGAAGAACTGCCTGTCATCATTGAATTAATACATGATGCATGAAATTATGAAAAACAAATTGTAAGGTCCCACACTCCCCCCTGTTTATTAATGTTTTCATAGAATCATAGAGTCACAGAATCATTAACATTGGAAAAGATCATCTAGTCCAACCATCAACCCATCACCACCATGCCCACTAACCATGTCCCTCAGTGCTACATATACCCTATTAAGTAGTTTATCAACAAGGAACCTTTGTGAGGATATAGAGATATACCTATCATTCACTGAGAGCATCCACATCTAAGATGACCACACAGATCTATCTTTGCAGTCAGATCTGGTCAACAAAGTCCATGAAGTCATAAAATATCCTACCCAAAGGTAAGTCTAACGGTGTTAGATTAAACAGACCTCAGAAGCGCTTGTTTCTCTCCCACTAACTCAGCTGTAGACACCCACATGTATTTATCACTGGTTAATTTAGCCAACAACATGCTGCACCTATTAGAGAGCTAAATGAGATTCTAATATGCATCAGGAAAGGTAATTACAGAGGAGAAGGGAGAGTACCAGTGCTGTTGTGCAGTGCTCTGCAGTACTGGACGTGCAGCGTATTCCTTTAGTGACTGACGCTCAAGAGAGATTAAGCCAAACTGGGGAAAGCAAAGAGATTTTAATTAGATGAGGGGAATGCAGAAGTAGGCAGGGAGAACTGTGTAGGTAACAAGAAAGAGCTCTCATCAGAGGAGGAGGATAAATCACCCTTAGGTGCCCTTAGAAAAGGAAGCCTCAGGCTATCAGTGCAGTGAGGCTGTCTAGGAAGACTTTTCCACAGGACAGCTAGCCCCAAACCAGCAGCCTGTGAGATGGAACTTGGTTAATTTCTGAAGGAAGCAATTCAACAGCCCATGTCAGTAGGGGTCTTGACTTGGTGACCTGAGAGGACCTTCCAGTCCTCTTTTCCCATGATAATTTGAGTGCTTGTCAGCAGGGCTGCTCAGCGTGATTTGGATGAGAATTGAAGTGGCTTGCTTTAGTTAAACCCAATAGAAACTTGTCTTTAAAAAAACTGGATGCCCTGGAGTCTGTCCTTTTATACCACTTTCACATCCGTGGAAGCCTTGATGTTTTGATGGAAGCCTTTTCTGTTTTGACACGGCCTATGACTATGATATACAGAAAAAACAGAAATGTCACATTCTTGGAAAGTAGAAGTTTTTCCTTCCTTAAATTCTTTTACTGAAGTCAGTATGGGATGGTTCCTTGAAGAAGTATTCTAAGAAAGTGCTGCTAAACAACCAACAGATTAAAATTTGTAGATCCTCAAAGCCAGCAGATGACACAATATCTCAGCAGGTTTCATTAACCACCATTTCTTTTTTTAATATCCAAAGTCTGCTGATAAAACAGTATATCACCAAAGCAGTTCTGACAGAGCGGTCTCTGCAGTGTCAGGTCTCTGCAGCAAGGCAAGAGAGTATGAAACCAGGGTCCAGGGAGTGTGAATAAATGGTAATTTCTTAGTATTTTGACTTCAGAGTGTCCTTCTCAACAGTCTCCTTTCCTACCTCTGAGAGACTGTTCTGGGCACCACCAGTGTAACCTGGAAGGGAACAAATATTCTAGAATGAGGAGGGAGGAAAGGCCAGTTAGCATGGTTCCTGCCCTGATAGATGTGCCAGAAGTAGATTTGAGTTGGGATGGCTTGAGTAGGGAAGAGAAGTGACTAAAGGTGTGGGTGCACTGCTTAGCCAGTGAGAATTGCTTGTTTATTTCCTATCCCAAACCATCTGTATGAGTAGCAGTCTCCAAGAACCACAAGGAGGGGCAGGGTGCCATGTACCTATCTAATACTTCATTATTGTGACTGTAATCCTACTTTTAGGTAAAATCACTTTCTGGGTGTGCCTGGAAGTTTGTATCTATCCAGATTGTTTATATTCCTATTTATTTGTTTATTTAATATTAAGAAGGAAGCAAAGTTGTGTGATAAATAATTCTAGTTAATTTGCTTTGCTTCATCTATGCTTTGATAGCTTTGTTGCCTTTTGTTTTGTGATTCTGCAGTCAAACAAACAGAACAAAAACTTCAGAAT